CAACTAGCATTGCTACTATTCTTGGTTGTTTTGATTTTGGAGAGAAGGAAAAAAAAAAAGACTACTTTTCCCAGTAGAAAAGCAGTTCAGACCTTGAAGAGACATGTGGGAGGAAAATCTTACTAAGTTAAAATCTTAATAATATTATTAGAAGTTAAAATACTTCAAACATAAGTAATTCACAAGGAGCTAGAAGAATGAGATTAATAAAATTGTATTTAAAAAGTTTATGTGTACAGACAAGCAGTAGAACTCTGCTTCATCTTGGAAGTGCTAGAGGGGTCTATGAGTCTACATTTGTTGCTGCAGGCTTGATTAGACTTCAAGTTTGAGAAGGGAAAGCAGTCAATTTACAGTTGGGTTTCATACTGTATTTTACTCAAAACAACCATAAATTTTACTTTTTCGTGTTTTAATCAGATTTTTTTTTTAAAGATTTATTTATGCATACAGAACTGTGGTACAGGCCAGAGGTGCGGGGGGTGGTGAGGAGATTCACCAGAGATAGAGTGGGGAGCAGGACAGGCAGATCTACAAAGTACACTGCTGAGGGGAGCAGCGGGCAGGTCAGGAGAGGTCTGCCACGCCATGTGGACCACCTCACAGGCAGGGATCGAATTCATGCTGAAGTGGCTTTAGCTTCTTAGTGCTGAGCTTTTACCGCTGTACCACCAGAGAGGGCCCTAATCAGATATTCTTTTTGTATGTTTTATATCTACAGTAGAATTTTCAGTAAACATATTCAGTCAGTTAAGAAAGCATTGCAGAATATTTTCAGACAAGAAGATCAAGCAGTGACATAAAGAAAACCTACTTTTAATGATCTAGAATTTATATAACTTGTAATTGTGTGGCCTTAATTTAGACTGAACAATCAAAACAGCCTAGGTAATGCAGTGATACTTCCTGAAGCTCATTGCCAAGAGTCTTAAGTTTCTAAATCCTAATCTTAATAATGGTGAAGTGTGATGATGTTGAGCACTTGTTAAGCCAATAATTTACAGACAGTACTTTACATACCTTACCTCATTTAAGAAAACAACCCTGTGGGAATTGATATTTCCTCTTTTTGTAGCTAAAGAAACAGGCTCAGAGTTGGAAATGACTTGACTGGATTACACAGATAGTGAATGAAATAATGTGAATTCAAATCAGGCTTGAAGTTGACCACAAAAGTTGGGGGGGAGGGAATGGAGCAGGGCGTAGGCATCCATTCTGGAAGCTGGCAGGTGGTATGTGGTTTAAAATCAGGCTGTCAGTGACTGAAGAGTAAGCAACTTTTAAAGTGACTATTGGTGAATAGGATGATTTATTTTTTAACTTAGAAACCAGATTCCAGTAGAACTCACCTCATATCACTGTAGATCATGCCTTATATGTTGAGAAACCAATTAAGGGGCTTAATGATGGTTGTTTGCAAGTCCTAGTGGTATTTCAATGTGTCTAAAAGAGTATATAAGGTATATAAAGTTTCCTTATAATCAGGCACTTGATGTTTTTTGGTTTTAGGTATCACTTTTTAAAGATACGCTTCAAAGGAATATTTGGCTTATGTTACTTCTAGTAGTACTTAAGTATCTTAATTTGCTTTTAGTAACTAACACAGTAACTCATTCTCTTTAACTTATTAAAAAAAACTTTATTTTTATAATTTTCTTTTCCTAGGTATTAAATAAAACTAAAGAATTTGAAGATGCAGTGAGGAAAGTTTTAAGAGATGTAAATTTAGATAATGATGTAGTTGTATCAGTCTTTGAAACAAACATCAGAGTTCTTGGGTAAGTATGTAAAACACTAATGCTATAATCTTAACAACTGAAATGCTTAGGGGCAGTATACTGTTTATATCTTGATGGTAATAAAGCAAGGAATTTTTTATGTTTAAAAGATAAAAAAGGGATATTATGAAACACAGAGACTATGGGATGGCCTTCCATTATATCAGTCACAGACAGCGACAGGCTTTGGAAATAGTTGTAGACTCAAATCAATGGTATGTTGTTCTAAAAAGGATGTGGGTTGAACATTTGCATACCAGCAATATCATAGGTTTTTCATTAGCTTACATAGTTTATCAGCCTTAATCAGTACCTCTTCAAGCCAGATGAAACTGAACTTACAGGATCACCTCTAAACTAACAGTTTGAAATGCTATTGGAATATTTAAAAAGTGCAGACTGACAGGATTTATTACTTCCGAGTTTCAGCATTGTTAACTTTTATTTTTTAAAGATATATTTTTATTCATACAAGACAGGGGTGTAGGCCGAGGTGTAGGGGTTGAGAGGCTTCACCAGAGAGAGAGAGAGAGAGAGAATGGGGGGCAAATCAGGCAGGAGAGGTCTACTGTGCCAGTGGGGTCAGCTCTCTGGCCTGGGATGGAACTTAGCTGCAGTGGTTGCTGGTTGCTTGGTAGTGCTGAGACTTCACCTTTTGCACCACCAGGAAGGCCCTCTCTCTGTTAACTTTTTCTATTTCATGACTATTTTTATGTTATTGTCATTCATTTCATTTTGTCAAAGTATGTTTTATTTTCATTTTAATGTAAGAAATAGTTATGTACCTTTTCAGAGTTTATTAATCTACATTTAATACAGAATGGGAAGTTTTTTTTAAATGTTACACCGCTAAAAATCTCATGATAGTATAATTAAATTTAAAATTGGTTAAAACTAAATGTATAAAATTATTAAAATTGAAGTAATTTCTAGGATGTTCTTTATTTTATGAAAACTTAAGGTACTTAAAAGGGGCCACTTTACAACAGACAGAATATTTTGGTTTCTTAAAATACTGGCTATGGAATTATTTTGGTTTGTATTGACATAAAATGAATAGCAGAGTTAAGTAAAGAATTAAGTTCTTTTGTGGTCTTACCTTTTGGTGCTAAATTGTTGATAACACGATACTCACGTTTATTTAGGTTATTGTGATTTTTAAGTTTCTGTAAGATGTGGATGATATTTCATCTCTGTGATTGTAGGGGTCTTCTGGGTGGACATTCGTTGGCTATCATGCTGAAAGAAAAAGGAGAGTACATGCAGTGGTACAACGATGAGCTTCTCCAAATGGCAAAACAGTTGGGTTACAAACTTTTACCAGCTTTCAATACTACCAGTGGCCTTCCTTATCCAAGAGTAAGTATTTCTAAAGAACATGGCAGTCACTTGTACTTCCTTTGCTATTAAAAAAAAGGAATGTCTGGCCCTCCCTGGTGGCGCGGGTTAAAGCACAGCACTGAGAAGCTAAAGCCATTTCCGCATGAGTTTGATTCCCGCCTGCCCTGGAGGTGACCACATGGCGTGGCAGACCTCTCCTGACCCGCCCGTTGCTCCCCTCAGCAGTGTACTTCGTCAATCTGCCTGTTCTGCTCCCCACTCTGTCTCTGGTGAAGCCTCTTGCCACCCCTGAGCCTCTGGCCTGTACCCCAGTTCTGTATGTACAAATAAATAAATCTTAAAAAAAAAAAAAAAAAAAGGAATGTCTGTAATCAGAGCATTGTTCCTTGCCAGCTTTGAGGCCAAAAAAAAAAAAGTTTTTCCAAGTTCTTTAACAAACCTATATTGACATTTCAGTTAGTTTGCACTTGAGTAGAGGGATGATTTAGATTAGCTTAGGCCTCTTATGTGTCACTGCAGAACAGGTTAGGTTATGCCACACCAGGATTTGGGCAGAAGAAAGAGATGCCACATCAGGATTTGGGCACACAATATAGCTGAAGAAGTGAGAGTAGGTGTTAACTCTCAGGAGAAGAAGATAATAACAGAATACAGGACAGGTAGTGGATGAGAGGGAAGTTGAACCTGTGAAAATGAAAATGTTCAGAGACGATGAAAAAAAACTATAATATTATCTGACCTTAAAGAGAGCTTGTAAAAGAAGTGGTCTAATAAGCATTGGGAGAACAGGTGTAAACAGAGCCTTGAAGGATGTAATGTGATAATGTGACAAGTGAATGGGGAAGAAGTGTTCAATGAGGTGAAAAGTATGGACTACCCATCCTGAGATTTCTCTCTGCTCCTTTGGTAGTTAAAAGAGAATTGGCAGCAGAGTCAGTTGAGGGAGCTTTGTGTTTTTCTTCCTAAGAAAAATTTTAAAGCTGAGAAAGGAAAACCTTTGAAAAGTGGAAAAGAACCCTTTATCCTGATTTACTTCATTCTTTACTAACACTGTTAATTCTTAGCCTCTTTCCAAGTCAGTCAGTCAATATCAACCTAGTTGAAATCAATATTTTATTCCTGAGTTTTTGTAAATACCAATCAACTCTTCTCTATACCTCAGAGCACTTGAAAAATTAATCTTATTAAAACATAATTCTGTTAAATTACCCTCAAATTTTTTAGTGACTCTCCCTGTGGTACTGCATGTCCTTTAACTTATAGGAATTCTTTATTCTTTGGTGATAGATTTCCTTCCTAATGATCATTCCATTTCTTTTAACCCAAATATTCATCCTGGTTCCCCAAAACACCAGTGTTCTGTTGTTTTTTTTTTTTCTTCCATTTCTGTGCTTGCCATTTCTATAGAAATGCTTGTCATATCTATAACCTAGAATAACTTCTCTACAAATACATATCAAATAAGATTTATTTTCTCCATCAAAGCATCTTTGAAAAGAGACAGCCTGATCTATAGCAGTGTTTTTCAAGCTAGGGGTTATAGTCCATTGATTTACGCATTGACTTGGTGAGTTATGATGATTATTTTTTAATGAAACAAACTAGTATTAAATCTTTTACTATGTAAATTTCTGGATTTTGACATTTTAAATAGCTTTCCTGTGAGCATCCTTTTTATTTCTTCCTCGGGATAAATTACAGGGAGAGGAAACAGTCTCAGAGTAGAAATGCTTTTTAAGACTTTGGGTACTTGTCGCCCACTTGCTCTCCAGACAGACTGTATAAAAGTTCACAGTCGTATGTCATTGTATTGTTGCCAACTCTGTCTACTTTGCCAGATTAATGAGGGCAAAAATGGAATTGTTTTCATTTTAATGCTTTGCTTATTAGTGTGGTTAAATTTGTTGATAGTTCAGTTTAACCTTAGCATATTAAAATTACAAAGAAAGTTACTCTAAAAAATCTAGACATCTATTTAATTGTGTTTACTGTTAATATTTTTTAGTTTTGTTAGTAATGGAGATGTTGAAGTCTGAGGGATGTAGCATTTCTCCATTTTTGCCATAAAATGAGCAGGGAGGAATTGAGACAGAAGATAAATAAGCATTATAGTAAAACAAAGGAAACTTAAGTACTGTTACTCTCTGGGTGTGGAAATTTAAAAATTCTTTCTTAGCGGAGTACTACAAGTAGACAGTACTTTGCCATCCTTGCATAATGCCCATTTAGAAAATGCTACTTTTATCCAGGAAAATTTGCTCAACCAGCGTCTCAGGCTTTCCTAATGGATAGTATTTGCATTGTTATTTTTAAATAATAGTTTATTTTTACATATTTTTGTGCTTTTTCCATCTCAGTTGCATTCCCCTTGGGTTGCCCATCACCCATGTGCCATCACCATAGTGCATTGATATTTTTTAACTCAGCATAATTTGCATAGATATGCTAACATAATAGTTAATGGTCGTTTTTAAAACTCACTTATAACTCCTAATTAGTCCATACTTAATGCCACTTCCTCAAAATTGCAGTTAATTAAAAAGCACTTTACCAGCTTTTCATTTAAGACCTCTTTGCTGAGGTTATATTGATGATTATTTTTCATAAAATATAGAATTAATAAGATTGTGTTATGACTTATACATATTTTATGGATTTTCCTTTGTAGCAAATAGATAATGTGTATAAATTTAGCATAAGGAATTTAAAACTTTACCTTTCAGTAATAAAGGGATCCTTTTTGGTTAAATGTAATGAGTTCTGTGACAAGGTTGCTTTCAGGGGTAGGGATAGTCAGGAAGGACTTCTTGGAAGAGGTAGCATTTGGGATGGCTCTTGAAAGATGAAAGATAAACAAAGAAACGTATTTCAATAAATCACGCAAAGGAAGGAGAATAACTGAGACCATGGCATTGTACAGAGTAAGGCCTTAAAGTTTAGAGGCCAGTTTTACTGTGAACGTAAAATTCAGTTGACTGTTGTGAGTGAAACGCTGTGAAATGAAAGATTTGTCCACTTAAGTTGACTTTCCACAGTAAAGGAAATCGGCTCCTGGTGCCTGTGAAGTGGCATTAAGTGTGGACTAATTAGGAGAGGTGCTGTCAAGCCTGCAGATTGTACCAAGGAGGCCATAGGGACAATACATATTATACAGTGAATGAATATGAACAATTACAAAGAGAAAAGGGTTTTTTAAAAAAATTTCTTTGTGACTTGGCAACACAGGACCAGGAGGAATCATGTTCCAAATTCCTGCCAAATATAAAACCTTTGTTATACCGTGATCCCTTTTTGTCTTAAGCCTGACAAGTGTACAGAGCAATCTGCTCCTTATTTGTAATTTCCATGTGAATAAATGAATGTTACCAGCAGTGCCCTTTCTATCCAGTCATTTGGAGCCCAGTCTCGAGCACCGGAATCTTTAAAGTCAGGATACCCATCTGCCCAAAAAAAGCACGGAGCCCTTCCTTGTTTTGTGGAAATGACCAGCAGTGCCCCTGGGGGCAGAAATGTATTTTTAGTTTGTATTTGGAAATTGTTTAATATTATTCTTAGCATACAAGATTGTGTGTGTACTACTATAATATAGATATATATGGTACTATGGATGTTCTGTGTTGAGAAATAGTACCTTTGCATCATTTTGTAGTGGTCATCTTAGAACAGTGAAAACTAATTTAATGCAAAGAAATAATGATTCAGTGTTTTCTTTATTTTCTTAAGGAAAAGATGCTAGAAATGGAAAACTTTTATTCTCGACTTTTATTTGCCTCTCCTTTCCTATTGCTCCCTGGACTTTGCCATTTTTAGTTTGCAACTACCCCTAATCTAGTGTATTTCCTCTTCTGAACTTTAGTTAATAGCATTTGTTGTTACCTTTGTTTGGCCCTTAAGAATGACTTTCCATTGTTAGTTATCTACTCTGTCAGTCTTATTTGTTCTGTCTGTATTTTGTGTTCTTGAGGGTAAGGACTTCCTTAATTTCTTTGTTTCTTACCATAACATCTACCACATAATGGGTAATTGTTATTGATCACTTGATTGTAATAATTAATAGAATTAACCAGGAAATCCATTTTTCACTGTTGACTCTTAGGGCAAATATTCATAAAAATTATTATGCTTTAACTATAATTAATATAGTTTTTTTATTATTAAGGTAGCCTCATTTTAAGTTCATTATTCTTAACATCAGTTTGTATAGCTAGAGATACAGGCAGCATAAAGAGACAGAAGATTTTTTTTTCCAGTTTGGTCTTGGGGCAGAACTACCTATTCTTACAGAAGTGCAAATGGTAGAGCCTGTCGGTGATCCACTCCCTATGCCTCATCTACATTTCGCTTTTGTTGTCTGTATTTCTCTTCTCACTTAGAAATGCCTAGTCTGTTGACTAGACACTGTTAAGGTAATGGACTTACCTAGCAATTTATTTCTACAGGTAGTTGAAATACAAATTTATTTATACTCCTCTTTATATATGAATTTGAATAATAACTGACCCATGATGTTTTGTATTTAACTTTCTTGTTTGTTCTTATCTTGAATCTTAGGCACATACTTTTCCTTTTGTTGTTTATTTGGACTGCAGAAAAGATTCTAGTTTTAATTGCTTTCTGGTTTTGGTTCTAGTTAGTCCGAGTTTATAGTATAATAGTGATAGTATTACTTGAGTGACTTTGAATTATAAAAAAATTAACTCCTTTGAAAATTTTTCTTTCTGTGATTTGTTAGCCTGTCATGTCAGTAAAGCAGTATACTTTATTTCAAAACTTTTAAAACTTGTGAACCAATTTTAATCACTTCTTAAGTATATACCATAACTTGAATCAGTTTTTGTCTATGAAGGACTAATACAGTACTTTATTAAATACTACTTAATGTCCTTTTATTAAAAAGTAAGATCACATCTGCATGCATTTTAATTTAGTTTGAACCTTAAACTCTGAAATACAGATGCATTTTCAGGTAAGAAAAGTGAGGCTGAAAGACGGTGAGATGTACAGATACTGGATGTCCAGAACCTTTTTCATAGGTTCTCAGTTAAACCTCATTTCTTTTAGGGCTTGCCTAGTTTCCTGTTCTCGTACACCTCTTTTCAAACTATCCAGCAAACACATTGTTATAGAAGTTATTTTTCTCTACATAATTATTATAATGGTCATGAATTTTGATATCATCGAGGAAGGAACTAAATTAAAACCATTTACCCAGTGAATATTATGTGTTTAGTATATACTTTTGTAGCTGTTAATTGGAAAGTCATAAGGAATATCAGATTGAATTTCACTGTTGTTATGGATTATTTTAATGCTTTCATAATGTCTTAATTGAAAATTAGTTATCCAGAAGTCATTATCCTGATAATCTTCTAATTTTATTTAGATTAATTTAAAGTTTGGTATCAGAAAACCAGAAGCTCGAACAGGAACTGAGACAGATACCTGTACAGCTTGTGCTGGTACCTTGATCCTTGAGTTTGCTGCTTTAAGTCGATTCACAGGAGCAACTATTTTTGAGGTTTGATTTTATAATCTTTGATTTCTTGGGTATCGGGAATACTTTGTTTTCATTGGTCAACTGTTAGGATTATCAGTTGGAGAGTTATTGTGATTTTAGTGAACTTATTGTCTATGTTCAATCACATGGTTTTTAATTGTCAAAAACATGGTCATTGTGAGGGCATTATAGAATATGCACTTTGCATTTTGTTCACAAACTGTAAATAAATACTTAGGTTTATTCTTTGAAATTTTTTAATTATATGAATTTGATACTACAAATGTCTTGTATGAAACACTATGTGTTTTCTAAGTGGTCTTTGCACTTCTGGTATCTTCACTTACCTCCAAAGGAAGATTATTTATTATCCAAATTTCCATATCCCCTAAGTGGTATATTATGGATCATGTATCATGCTTTTTATTTTATCTAATTTGTTTTAGGTGTGTCATTGGGGTTCAAGAGTAATACAAAACATCCTTTTTTTTTCAAATTTGTGAGTCAGGAAAATGTTTTTTAATTCAGCAAATGGTACATACAGAGCAAGCAGAAATAGGGAAAATATTCCAATTTAAATATATATGAGAATTTACATAAAAGTTTTGTAATAGGATTTAAATAAAATACATGCATAGCCTTTGTATGTATGTATGTATGGGCAAAGTATCTTAAGGAAAATTTGTAATATTCAGTTTAATTTTTACTTTGTACCTTGTTGACTGATAATGTCCCTTTTTTGTATGATCACATTTTAATTTAATTTGAATTACACATGCTTTTTAAGTTAAGTGAGGCTGAAAGAGGATGAGATGTACAGATACTGGGTAAATTGGGTAGACCTAAACTAGAATCCGTGCCTTCCTGAATTCAGAACACATACTCTTTCCACTGGGCTACTTTGTATTCATAAGTGAATCTGTTGAATCAAGTTATGGTGTTTTGTTTTTTTTTTACGGTACAGTAATTTATTGTGAGAAAAGCAGCCTGATACAGTTAACAGAGCATTGATACATGGTTGTATAGTCCGTGGGCCAATTCCATCCATAGCCTGGCTTTGTAAAGTTTTGGAACACAGCTGTCCTTTGTTATTGTCTATGGCTGCCTTTGTGCTATGGTGATATAGCTGAGTAATTGTGTCAGTGACTGTATCACCATAATGCCATAAACGTTTGCTACTGACCTTTGTTAGAAAATATTTGCTGGCCCTTGGTGGCGCAGCGGGTTAAAGCACAGCACTGAGAAGCTGAAGCCACTTCCGGATGAGTTCATTCCCGCCTGCCCCGGAGGTGACCACATGGTGTGGCAGACCTCTCCTGACCCGCCTGCTGCTCCCCTCAGCAGTGTACTTTGTCGATCTGCCTGTGCTGCTCTCTGCTCTGTCTCTGGTGAATCCTCTCACCGCCCCTGTGCCTCTGGCCTGTACCCCAGTTCTGTATGCACAAATAAATAAATCTTTAAAAAAAAAAAAAAGAAAATATTTGCTGACTTTTGGTGTAATGAATAAAAAGACCCAATCCTTATATTAATTAGTTGTCCTATAATTCAGTAGACTTCAGTTAAATCTTTCACTTCACTGAGTCTGTTTTCTTAACTATAAGAGTAAGGAAATAGAAGCTACACTATTTAGTTAAGATTGTAACCTACTTTGTTTTTAAAAATTAGCATAAATAGGTTGAATTGAGAATTAAAATTGTTCTGGACTATACTTTTAAATAAATCTCCAAAATAACAGATTGATTTAATGGGATTTTTTTCTTTTATAGAACTACTTCTGTAATGCTAAGTAAACTTATGGTTTGAAAATTAATTTTAACTTAGACATTCTGTACATTTCCTTTGCTTTTTATGTTTGGTAAAATCCTTTAATTCAAATCTAAGCATTTGATCAGAAATCATTTTAATTTAGTGTCCATCAGGAAGAATAAATGATAAAAGAAAAATGTTGCAAAGTTACGTTTGATATTGTCATATTAGTACTAGTTGATTTACTTTTCATTAACAAAGTTGCATGCTGTTTAAAAGTAAGGCCTGTATTTCCTGTTTATGTTTTTGAAGATCACATACCAACTTTGAAATTCTCTTTCAGTTTTCTAAATATAAAATTTTTGCTTTGCATTTAAATGATGGAAATTATTTAAATACATTAAGGGTAGGTAAACATGGATGTGATTTTAGAATGAGATCACTGCCACTAAATAGCATTTTGGGAGTCATTCTTTTCATTTAGAATTGATTGATAAGAACAAATATACTACTTGTAAGAAAATCTATTGTACATTATAAATGATTATCTTAGAAATTGTACTTGAATCTTAAAATACTTAATGAATCTTTGATTTTTGCATCTTTGTATCCTCTTGTTCTAAGACCTGCAGTTCTTTTTAAGTTCAACTTTTTTTTTTAAATTATAGGAATATGCAAGAAAAGCTCTTGATTTTCTTTGGGAAAAAAGACAACGAAGTAGTAATTTAGTAGGCGTGACCATAAATATCCATACTGGAGATTGGGTACGAAAAGGTATGTAAATTGAACTTTATAAATCAAGCCTTCACATCCTTAGAATAGTTGAGAGTAGTTTTTCCTATGTTGAAATTACCTATGGGACAATATAATGCAGTTTCTCACAAAATTTCTGGGATTTGAACTAATTGAGCCATATTGTCTTTGATGCCAAATAATAGTATATTTATTCTGGATGATTTATTATTCTATATCAAACATTTGGCATGGCATTAAAGATACAGATTGATTTATGATAGTTTTATGTCCAAATGACCTATCGCATCCTAACTTGAGTTGCAGTTGATATAATTTAACTTACCTAATATCATAGCTTAGCCTAAGCTACCTTAAACGTGCTTGAGCACTTGTATTAGCCTGTAGTTGGGCAGATCATTTTACACAGAGCTGTTTTATACTAAAGTATTTAGTATTTCATAATTTGTTGAATACTGAACTAAAAGTGAAAAGCAGAATGGTTTTACAGGTTGTCACCTTAATGTGCACAGCTAAACATGCTTAGCCTAAACAATATTTGAAGTGTTGGCTTAAAAGGAATTCCTGGGTAATGGGTATGCTACAGTAGCAGGGTCGTCGTCATGTCTACTGATTAACTCATTTAATCCATGTAACAATTTTAAGGGTTTAGTACAACGTCTGACATATGCTATACTTACTGCATATGCTATACTTATTAACACTTATGAAGTAAGTGTTTACTAATGAGATACTAGTCTCTTTGACAGTTTCACTTCTGGGAATCTAGTTTGAGGAATAATACAAAATGTAGAAAATTATTTGTTTCTAAAGATACTTAATTTATAAAAGCAGGAAACTTGGAAAGAGTAGGCATAATAATCAATATAGCTAAAAAGTCATTTTACAGTAGCCTCCCATTTTCTATGGTGATTTTGCTTTCTTTATTCGTTTATCCATTGTATCCAGTATTACACACAATGAGATTTTTGAGAGATCATATTCATATAACTTTTATTTTTGCTATGTATAATGATAATTGTTCTATTTTATTATTTTTATTACTATTTGTGGTTTCAGGCAATCCACTGGGTGTTTTGGATAAGGGGGAGACTACTGTTCATCAGTGTTGGAATACTGATTTATTAAAAAGAATTAGAATCATGGGGCAAAGCATATAGCAAAGTTAACATGAACAAATAATATGTAACATTGTGTAAAGAATATGATTTTGTCTTCATCAGAGTGCCTTATAAAACAAACATAGGCCAATGGAAATACATAAGAATATTCCTAATGAATTGCCTTGTTTATACATGTTCTATTTTCTAAAAGGTTTGTTATTAAATATAAAATTTAAAAACTACATGTACTTAAGTAAATGAAAGCAATATATTACCAATTTGAACATATTAAAATATAACTATTTCCTCTCTTTAGTATTATATAAAATTTTTATAAGTTTTATTTAAATGTTCCTGAACTGTAACTCCTGGCTTCTGAATCCCACAGTTTTTATTTATTTTTACATCATTTTGTACATTTTTTTTTCCATCTCAATTGTAATCCCCATCACCATGTCTCCTGTGTGCCATCACCAAAATCATGTGCACTTCCCTCCCCCCCCACCCCGTTTTTGATCCCATCCCCCACTCCACCCCCGCAAAATGTCTCTGGTATATGGTTGTT